CTTGGCTTTCAGTTTCTCTAACCTACGCTTCTGAACTCTTCCACCTCCATCCAACAAACTAGTTCCAAAGTTTCAGGAGCCACAGAATCAAGGTCATCCACCAGTGCACTCCTGACTCTCCGTATCAACTTCCTGTATTGTGACTTTTCAGTGCTCTGACCTGTGAGGGATGTGGAGATGAACCTGGTAGAGGAAGAAATGGGGAGCTGGAGGTACCAAAAACCCCTGTAGCTCCTTGCAGAGTCCTAGTGTATGGTCTCACAGGGCTCCAGGCACACCAGTGAGACAACACAAAGGACCAGAGGCCAGGGCTGTGGCTGCTTCCCTGTCTTCACAGAAATCTCCATGGGGGATTGGACCCTCCCCTACATGCTCCTGGACAGGCTCCTGGGTAGGCAAGTCAGGTTTGGCTAAACAGCAGAGGTTGTGCCTCAATTTGCCTTTGAATACATAAACATACCCTAATTGGCTAAAAGGCTACATATAAGCACATGTAATAAACAATAAAGTTAGATTGCACTCTGATGCTGGTCTGCAGAGTCTGAATCCTGAGTGTCTTTGTGGGTTCCGCCTCTACTGTCCTCCTACTTTCTGGTCCCTGTTCTCACAGTGACCAAAGCATCTATCATCCATCCATCGTGCGCAGTGTCAAGAGATGAGGGTTCGCTTGGGGTCATTGGTAAGAGGATCCAATACATGGCTCCTTGGTTCCCTTTGCTTGGACAGACCTTGATGGCCATGGAATTTGCAGGACAGATGGACCTTTCACCTTCTTACCTTGTGTCTTAGTTTGTGTGTTGTTGTGGTAAAAATATATTGGGAGAAGCAACTAAAGGGAGGAAGGTTTCATTCTACGCCTCAAGTCAAGGCTATAGTCTTTCACGATGAGGTAGTCACAGAGAAAGGGGCTTGTATTAGGTGGTTACATTGTAACCACAGTCAACAAACAAAGAACGATGAATGCATGCATGGTACCCACGGCTCAGCTCCCTTTCTCTGCTGGTACAAGACTCTAGTTGGTGGTTGGTACCTCTCGCTCCTATAGGCGAGGAGGACATGGGGGGAGTAGTGGGAGGTAGGCTAGTCACTCTGCACCTCTAATTAAGGAAGTAAAGCCTGGCCACAATGCCTCAAAAAGTGTCCTCAGTGACCTACTTCCTCAAGGCGGTTCTGACACCTGAAGGTTCCAGCCTTCCCAAACAGTGTCACCCACCAGGGACCAAATGTTCAAATCCAAGAGCCTGTAGGGAACATTCACATGCAAAGCACAACAGTAAGGAAGGAGAAAGCAAAACAAGAAGGGGCAAGAGACAAGGTGCACTAAAAGGTCACCATCACCCCCTTCCAATGACATAGGGTTAGGCTGCACCTCCTATAATTTCCCTAGCTTCTCAAAATATTGTCACCAGCTAAGGACCAAGCCCTAACACATAAGCTTTCAAAGGGATGTTTCTTGTCCAAATCATAACATTATCCATTCTCCCTCAAACCAGAACATCTCAAACAAATAAACAAACAAACAAACAAAAACAAAGAAAAGAAAAGAAAAAAAACAGGGTTTTCCCTGAGCTATTTCTAAAGGTTCCCGTATCTCCTAAAATTTTGATTAAATAAATTTGTCACACCTTCCCCCCTTGTCAACCTGTCTTCTGTGAGACATGATTCTGTGAGGGCTGGGGAAGGGTACCCCTGACATTCTGGATGCCAGCCTCAGAAGAGACAAAGCTATGGTGTCTGCTGTGTCTTTACTGCTGGTTTCTTTGCTTGCAGAAAGAAGTAGCAATTTTCTGGTTGCTAAACGTATGGCATGGGATACCTCCGTGGTACCAGCTTCTCTCTGGCTTATTTTAGCTTGCTTGGTGGAAGTTTCTGGTTTGGAAAGGACACAGCTCAGAGGGAAGTCAGAGGGAGTCATGCTGTCCAGGGGACTAGACACGAGGGGAGCTCATTAGAACAAGAAGGCAGCTGGCGTGGGCGGACAGGCTACAGAGAAAGAATCCCAAAGGTACTGGGGTCAGAACAGTCAGCATACACAGCGCCCCTTCAGTACAGGAGCCTGGAATGCTGATCTCCCCAGCTTCTGCCTGACTCCTGTGCAAGGTTGGAACCATCTATAAACCAGGGCCAACAACAGCGTAAGGCTTGGCAGAGAGCTCCCAGGACACCAGAAAAGAAAGTGCTTTCACAATCTGTGCATATGCATGCCTTAGCTGCTGCTGCCTTCCTCTGGAACAAAGCTTCAAGCAGAGGGTTTTGCCTTCATGGACTCAGCTGCAGAATGAAGGTAATGGCTCTGAGTAGCCTGGCAGGGACCTTCAGCCACAGGGCTGACGTTCACTCCCTGAACAATGTGCTTCCGAAATGCGTATCACTGTGTTGGCCAGATAAGCAAGGAAAGGCTTTGAAACCGTCTCCCCGTGGACCACTGTAAGAAGCCCACGATTTGTCACGGAAGATTTGGATTGAAAAGCAATTGCCTGCCCCCAGGGTGTCATGCTTCAATAGCAAAACCAGTGTGGGGTGGCCCAGCACAGCAGAGTCTTGCAAAGTCAAACACACCTGGAGCTGCAAAGCAAAGGAACATTTTGCCTCAAGATAAACACGTCATTCCCCAGACTTCAATAGTCCCTGGAAAACAAGACAGGAAGGCAAAACCATCTCCACCAGGAGACCCCTAACTGGCACACCTCTGAGCCTCAGGTGTCTAAAGCCTTCCAGCAAACAAAGCAAGACTTCCCCTTTGGTAAACCTTCCTCTCCTTAGGCACTTCTCTTGTTCACTGCTCAGTTCTCCTCCTGATAATGGGAGCAAACCGTATTAGCAAAAGCCATTCTAGGTGTTGTGGCCCCCGGAAAGTCAGAGACACAGAGATCACCATGGGCTAGGCTTTACCGAGTGCACAGAGTCTGCAACTAACACACCACAGGCTGCTCTGCTCACGCACACCTCACCGTAACAGGCTAAGTCCTCTGAAATAATGAGCCAAAGAGATTCTTTTCTCTCCTGATTCTGTCGGGCCATGGTAACAGGAAAGGTCATTAATGCAACTGAAAACTTAGTTCTGATCATTCTCTCTTGAGAATTTATAGCCGTTGTTATCTGTGTGTGTCTGTCTGGGTATGTACGTGCAGGTATGTGTATATGAGTTTGCGTGCACGTTCCATGCGTGTGAGAAGGGTGTGACGGGTGTATGTATGTGTACGGGGAGACCATTCATACGTGTGTATGTGCAGATAGAGGCCAGAGTCAGCTTCAGGTGTCAGTTCTTGTTGCTTGTGAGACAGAGTGTTAATTCACTGTCCTGAGGCTCACCCATTAGGCAGACACAGCAAATCCCAGGGACCCTCCTGTTAGTGCTGGGATTACAAACCTGCACTCCCATGTCACGCCTCTTATGTGGGTGCCACTGGGATTTGGACTAAGGTTCAATTGCACAGCAAGCACTTTACCCAGTGAGCCGTCCCCAACCCGTGCTGTTACTGGTATTGTTTCAGTGGATAAGAAAATATGGCATACCAGAAGCAGAGACAGAACCCAAGCAGAGAGACTCCAGGCTCAGACCTCCATGCTCGGCCTCTCTGGCTCTGAGCTCAGCCTTTCCTTCTCTGAACAGTCCGAGTCCTGAGCCCAGTTCATCTGTTTCATGTACAGCCCTGACTTTAAGCAGGCAGACATTGCTTTAAATTCTTAGCTACTTCTGGAAAGTTATGTGCTATAATATCCATTCTTTTCTTTGCTGGAAAACCGTGATTCAGATATATACACCATCAGGTGACTACACCACAAGACAGAACACATCTCTCACCCCTCCCAGATTCTTTTTCCCAGCTACCTGGCAACGATACTGGTCTCTGGAACCGTCATTTTCCCCTTCCCCCAAAAAATCTATTATTTTAAGATCCAAGACACTTGTGAAACCAAAAGGGACCCAGAGTGACACCTCTCATGGGGACATACATTCAAACATAGGAGGACCAGGGCCAGTCCTCAGACAGCATAGACACAGCAACCAGATGTTAAGCTGAGCACAGGGTACAGGATCTGTAATGTAACAGTCTTGTCCCACCCAGGGGCAGGATGCCCATGGACAGGCCAGGGTGCTCTCCCCACCCTCCCTCACATCTTACTGAGTCTTGGCAAAGGGGAGGGGATACCACAAGGCTGGGAAGTCTAGGTGAGAGGACATGAGCCAGGCATCTGCTAGAGCCAGTCTCTTCTCTAACAACATCAGGACCTGAGAGAATGCCTGAAAGCCAACAAACAAGGAGCTTGGAAGGCTCAGAGGGTAGGAAGGTGTGCATTCAGGGAAGCCCCTCTGGATGTAGGCGGGGCTAGAAAGGGGAAAGGGAGGGGCGAGGGAGCCTTCTCCACTGCTCGAGGTCAGCCTCTGAATTTAAAAAGAAAAAAAAAGGCAAAATCAAGTTCTAATAGAAATGCACATTTATCAGGTCAAATTTATCAGAATGTATCACCAAACAATGGGGCTTTCTGCTCTTTGTTTTGCTTTGATTTCATGAAAACAGGAATCAGAAATATTAGTCATGGTCTGTTTTCTGTGAAGATGACATATATATGTGCATTAGAATGTTTGAATTCATAAATGATACATTGTAACCTATAGGTTCCAGAGATACAATAAAATAAATATATGATGCAAAATATACAGTTTGTATAACAACATATGTTAGATAAGATACATAGTAATACTATATGTATAACTCTATATTAACTTCCTCAGAATAATGGGGACATCTAAACTACGGTTAAAAAGAAAGCTAACATGCCAAGCTTTTCCTTTTGTTCATCTACATTTTAAGCTTCAAAAAGTTATATGCTATTTTGTTACAATACCCAAGAGTTATATTCATTTTAAGAACTTTGCGAGGGTCTATGAAAACACTCTGAGTTCTGTTTGTTCTTATTCCCAAACTGCACATGATGTACCCCTGACAAAACTGCAGACACAGGACAAACACACAGGACAAACACACAGGACAAACCTCTTTCCGTGGGCCTGCAGCACAGTGTGGTGAGGGAGCTGAGCGAGTATTCCACTCATGGAGCACCTGCAAGGGGGACTTTTCCTCTTCAGGGTGGGGTGTTCGAGGAACAGCCAGGGCAGCTGTCTGGGAGGCCTCTCCTGTGCTGTGCACCTGCTTCTCATCTCCCGCATGTGGAGTGCTGCCTGCTTCCTGAAGCTGCAGGCTCTGCATCAGCAACTGACAAGCCTCCAAGTCTGCTTGCCACACTCTCCTGAGCACCGGGCACCTGCAGCTAAGACAGAAGCAGGCAGGCACGGACATTAGCCCAGCGATGGCTCACACTACCCGTCAATGCCGTGTCTATGTCAGGGGTCACCTCAAACCCCCAACATCATCTTACAGAGAAAAAAACTTATCAACCAAAGAACACAGAGGTACCAAACCTGTGTGTCCGTGTTCATGGTGACATTCATATGGGTACTTCTTAGCTGCTTGGTCAGCAAGGACATCTAGAATCTCACTTATGCTTCCAAGAAGAAGAACTCAGTGTGGCACATCCTACCCTCTATTCCTATTGGAGTAAACAAACCTGCCCAGCTCTGCCCCAGGCTTCCACAGGTGCTGTTCCACTACCCGGAATGTCACCCCTCATCCTACCAGCAGCAGACGCACACACACACATGCACACATGCATGCACACACACACACGTGTACACACACACACATATACACCAACACATACATACACACACACATACACACACATATACACACACCATGCATGCACACACACATATGAACACACACCAACACATACATGCACACATACACACCAACACACACACATATACATACACACCAACACATATACACACATATATACATATATACCAACACATATACACACATATATACATACACATCAACACATATACACACATATATACATATATATCAACACATATACACACACATATATACATACACACCAACACATACACACACATATATACATACACACCAACACATATACACACATATATACATATATATCAACACATATACACACATATATACATACACACCAACACATACACACACATATATACATACACATCAACACATATACACACACATATATACATACACACCAACACATACACACACACATATACATACATACCAACACATATACACACACATATACATACACACCAACATATACACACACACATACACATACATACCAACACGTACTCTTTATTGCTCCTCTTTAACTCCTGTCTCATTTTTTCCCCCTTCAGATCTTTCCTCTTGCTCTCTTAATGTTCTAACAAAGGTACTTTAAGAGTCTATAGTTCTGTCTGAGAAGATCTCTAACCATATCCACACATGTACCTTTAAATCTTTGAATATTAAACACTTTAAATTTTAAAAAAAAACCCAGAAGTTTATTTCAAAACCCTTACATACTTGCTATCTGAATTGTCGATCTTTAATGTTTCTTAGGCGGGCATGACTGATTTCCAGAATTTATAACTTTAATGTCCTGCAGACTTAATGTAGAGTCTTTGTCTCTCTCCTGCTCTCATCCTTAAACTGAAGATATTCACTAATATGTTTTCCAGTTTGGGACCCGACACAGTCAAAGCTTCTCTGTGGCTCCTGCACCCCAGGAGCTAGTAGGGATCATGGGACAAGCTGCAGGTCTCTTAAGGCTCCCAGGAAAAGAAGGTCAACAACTTTCCTCATTATAACCTGTAGAATGTTGCAGTGATTGGTGAAATATGGCGGCCTCCTGTCTGAGTGAAAGTGGGACTGGTCTTTTGAGCTGTCTCTAGAACACACTCACCAAAGACTAGGTGCCAGTTTCAGAAGTGTGAGCCATGTGGCGGCAAATCACGCATGTGGGTGTAAGACGGTCGCGCTCCTTGTGGGCTATGTGATAATTTCATCAAGGGTTGCGTTTCCATGACATCTGCTCTGTGTATCCATTTGTACCAAAGAGTGTCGTGGTTGGTTGTGTGGGGGGAGATGCCTGTTCTTCCTGCCCAGGAGAGTAACTGGGTCATTAACAAAAATTGTTTCACCAGTGACTCAGAGCCTCTGAGCCTTGTGAGGAGAACAGGGATGATATTTTTGAGCTATAGTAGCTGAGAGGTCTGGGTAGAGAGCTGGGCCCTGGCACTGTCATAACCTTCTCAAAAACTAAAGGAGGCCTACGGGACCAATGGAGCACAACCTGGGAGGACTGAGTGTGGTCATGCTTATTGGGGATGACGCTGACATGCAGGGATTTGGGGAGGCATCCTGCCTCTCTACTGAAGTAGTAGGAACACCCTGGACATAGTGGCTCATGGGTGTGATCCTAGGACTTGTGAGGCTGAGGCAGAAAGATTGCTGTGAATTCAATGCCAGCTTTGACTACGTAATGATTTCTGGACAAGCCTGGGCTGGAGTGAAACATTCTCTCAAAACCAAAACCCTGGGAACCTGAGTTCTAACACAGACACCTGAAGTTTCAGCCCTTGTCACTGACGCATCCCTCCCGATTTACTCTCTTTTAAAGGAATTATCTTGTTCTCTGGAAACTTTGAAAGTCTTCAGGTTCTCTTACAGACCCTCAGTGAAAGAAAACATAGGCCCCAGAGGACAAAGGTGATGCTTCTAAATTCTCAACAGAAGCCAGTGAAGCATGTGTCTGCATTCTTTCTATTCCCTGAGCAAGTTAATCTCCAACAGACAGAAAAAGTCACTGTGTTTACATCTTATTCCTTGGTTTATTTTTATTGATTAAAATTTTTTAAATTTATTTTTATGTGAGTAGGTGTTTTGCCTGCATGTCTATCTGTGAGCCAAGTGTATGCTTGGTATCAGCAAAGGCTACAAAAGGACATCCAATCCTCTGGACTAGAGTTATGGATGCTGTGAGTTGCCTCATAAGTGCTGAGAATCGAACCTGGGTCCTCTGCAAAAATAGCCAGTGCTCTTAACCACTGAGCCATCTCTCCAGCCCTTTGACTTTCTGGGAAAGAAGTTTAAGCTGATTGTATTTTGTGTGTATGTGTGCATGCATGTAGAGGCTAGAGGTCAGCCTCTGGTCTCTCGCTGAGCCTGGAGTTTGCCTCTCCAGTGCTGGGATTTCCAACATGCCCCCAGCCTATGGGATGGTGCCGCTTATATTCAAGGTAGGTCTTATCACCTCTGGAAAAACTCTCACAGATGCACCAAGAGGGTGTTTTGTAATCTCCTAGTCACTTCGCAATCCAACCAAACTGACCAGACGAAGCTCCGTGTCCACAGCACTGGAGGGTGCCACAGGTGTAACATGTCGTTCTGCTGTTTAGTCCCTAAACAACCTCACGATTAGGACTTCACTCTAGAGGCTTCAAAACATACTTTGAACTTGGCCATTCCTACAACTGAACACCTAGTGCCTATCCTTTCTCTGGAATCTGGGCTGCACCAATTGTGAGCAAACCAAAGTGGTTGCGTTGGACCAAGCTGAATGCTATCATGCAGCTGAAGGAGTCTGGGCATCTCAGAAACCACACGTCAGAACGACTTGCTTCCTTTTCTTGCTATGGAAAGCCGGCCTGCTGTGGATTGCATACGCTCTCCCAAAGCTGCAGATTATCAACAACTCACAGACGCAGGTATCCTAGCTCCCTCTCTGTTGTTGTGATAAAACACTGGGCAAAAGCAATGTATGGATGGGAACAATGTATTTATTTGGCTTAGAACTGAACAAACACCCGCCGGGAGAGACTGGCAAAGTATCCATCCTAATAAAGGTTAACAAAAGGGAAGCCTTCCTTGTAATAATTGCTGTGGAATTGGCTACATTAAAAATTAAAGTCTCAGGGTGAACACGGAAGGGCTATTCTGTATGGCTTCTCAGCTGCTCAAGATCAAATGAACCAAACACAAACTTCAAATTATCTGTACAATATCTAAGGGGGAGAGAATGCTTTCTAAGCAGCTCAAAAAGACAAAACAGAAATATCTAGATGTATTTGGATATATATGTATGCATATATTGAAGTTTGGACATATATACGATCAAGATACCAGAAAATCTGGTGTCTGCTGAGGATACACCACCCCACAGACAACGATGCATCTGAGTATGGTGGGAGAAGCAAAGACCACTTTTATCAGGATGCTAACGTCAATCTTAACTGCTGAGGGCCACACCCCAGTGACCACTGGACTGGAGATTAAAGATCAATGTTTTAATTGAGACAGGGCATAGATATCCAGACCATGGCAGGTTATTTAATCGGTCTGCAATTTGATGGAGAAGGAGCAAGAGAAAAGGGAAGTGGATGAGGGAAAGGAAGAGGGAGAGGATGCTGAGGGAGAGAAAGAAGCAGAAGAAGCCAAGAGCACAGATCACTTTATAAGGTCACATGGGAAATCCTGTTAGGATCCTTTTTTGACCAGTATAGTTCAAGGTGGCAGGTGTGTGATGTCACGGTTGGTGCCAGTGCTACAGACTGTGGCAGCATGAACAGGTTGTGGGTCAATGGCCACTGTGTTCTAATATCTACAGGGTTGGTTCTCAGGCGCAGAGATATGAATTGGCACAGGTGCCAACATGCATATATCTAACACCCAATAGGCTCAGGTGAGTACATCAGGCACACACCCAAGAACCCCTTGGTGTTTCAGACTAGCTCCATTCCTGATACTGAAGAACCAGGAATTCTGCTGAGGTTCAAAGCCGTCTTCCATACCTGAGGCAAAGATAGCCCAGTGCCCTCACCCTTCTGGCTTGTGAGAAAGGAAACCCTCTTGTTGGAGCTTTCATCCACTGTCTCTAGAAAACTGTCTCAAACTGCAAGATGGCCATAAACTGAATCTACTTACACAGAATTGTGGGGTGCCCATTACACATGCATAGGAGAGAGCAGATTAAACCTCCTCAGGTAAAAGGAAGTATTGGGTTGCCAAGCACTGAGTGGATGAGGGGAGGATGACACCATCACCCTATGACCTGGCAGGTCTCAGCTGCAGGAGAAGCCACCATGACAGGGCATTGCTGTGGCCACAGGCTGAGATGAAATCTGGGACCTACCAGAGCCCAGGGCAGACTCAGAACTGTACCGAGGAATTGTGTGCAGACATCTCTATCTATCCAGGCACACAGAGTATCATAACAGCTGAAATCTAAATTGAAGTCTAAAAATAGCACAGTAAAATTACTTCCTTCACTCCACAGAGAGCAAGTGGGCTGACACTCACAGCTGCAGGGCATGGCTGACTTCCGGAGTTCGCGTGGACAGAACA